GGGACTTCCGAGCACTGGCGAATGAATGGCAGCTGTCGCTCTTCACTCCCCGCGAGGAGGGCGGCTCCGAGCAGGTAAGGCCGGGCTGAGCCGTGCGGGTGGGGCAGTCCCCAGAGAAGGGCTGCACTTAGAAAGGGGGCCGGGAGCAGCTCGTCTTGGAGGCCCGGACCCGGGCATCTCCCCGTGATTGGAGCAGCCGGCATCAGACAAGTTCGCCGGCTGCTGATTGGCGCTGCCTTGGTCAGGCGCTGTAGGCTGTTGTAAACGTAAACATGACCGACAGTAACCCGGGCCCGGGGACGGGGTGGGGTGAGGCGGGAGGGTGCGGAGGGGGGGGGGAGGTCCCGCCCCTCTCCATTCATGTCCCCAGCCGGCCCCGCCCAGCCCCGCCCAGCCCTGCCCAACTGCCGCCTGCTCGCTGCCCACACCCGGCCCGGCTTTGTGTAGCGGAGCTGCGTGCGCGGGGGTGATGCTGCGCGGCGGACCCGGGGTCCCAGCGGGGGCGGGGGAGGGGAGGGGAGGGGAGGGGAGGGGAGGACCACGTGTGGGGCCCCCTGCCCTGGCCTCTGGAACAGCCCATTGGGGAAGCAGCGCCAAGTGGTGCTAGCGTGCTAGCAGGCCACCCCTCCGGACCTTTTGTCCAGAAGCCTCGGCTCCGTGCTTGGCGCCGAGTAGGCGCTCAATAAATGCTTGTCTTAACTTGAGGAGGGATAAGGGGGCGACTGCACCTCTCCTCCGTATGAGATTAGGAACCTAGTTAGGGGTTGAGTTGGTTGAATGAACACCAGGCTAAGAGAAAATTTGACTCCATGTGGCCGTGAACAAGTCCCTGGCACGCCCTGTCCACCCTCTGGGCCTCAGTTTCCTCATTTGAAAAATGAGGGAACAGTGACCCAAGATCATTAAAGGCCCTCCCTGCTTTAAAATTCTACCTATGCTATTAAGGCCTTTTGGAAGAGAGAGGTAAGAATATACTTCAACATCAGAATATACCTCATTAACCAACTGCCTCATTTTCCTCATCTGTAAACTGAGGGGTGGACCACTTGATTACCCCTAAAGCCCCCCTTCCAGCTCTAAAACTTTGACCCTGTAGTTTGGTGATGACCCTCTTTTCTTGATTCTCAGTCCTCTCTCCCCTTCTGGTTGCAGTTCTGTGGTCAGCCAAGAAGCCTTGAAACCTCTAATTAGCTCTAGCTGCCCCCAGCACTCTGGTCAGGAGAAACTGGGAAGGGGCCTTTCTGGCCGCCCTCAGGCTTGCTGCTGAGAACCACGGTGAGTCAGCAGAGCAATCTGCACACTGACCCTTTGTGAACTGGCTTGAGGCAGCCGGGGAGCCTGTAGCGAGGCCGGGCAGACACCATGCACTGGGCACTGGGTAGGGACAGCTAAGCAGCTTGGACAAAAAAGCATTCTACCTCCAGCTGGCTAGCTCTCCCATAGCCCGATCTCTGCCCTGCCTGGGCCTGCTGTGGGGGCCTGAGGCTTATGGCTTGTAGTTCTGAGAGTCAGCACTTTCTGGGAGTGTAGAAAGTTAACTAGCAGTCACAGGACTGGGCCCCCACTCTCAGTGACATTTCACCCAGTTCAAAGCAATGATAGGGTATGAGAGGATGCCCTCAGTCACTGAGCAGTCAACACCAGGAACTGAGAGTCCCCTTTGTCCAGGCCCTCTCTGTGGAACTAGGTGGGGTAGGCAGCATTTATAAATGGAGGCGTTTATAAAGGCGCCCAATCTGATGGGGAAGGCAGGAGCACAAATCCAGTACTATTCAGAGGAGCCCCAGACACAGCCAAACCAGCCTCAGATGGCATGAGAAGGGAGGAGAGATCAGACCAGAATCACAGATCGTCATCCTCTGAAGGGCCCTAGAGGGGCAGTGTGGAGGTGGTCACAAGCACCCTAGACTCCAAGCTGATTTGAATCTTATCTCTGATACTAGCTCTTTGAACATGGCCAATTTATTTAACCCCTTTGAGCCTGCTGGGTTTTTTTTTCCATCTGTAAAGAAGAGATGATAAATTGCTAGAGACAGCTTCTATGTCTGGAGTAATTTTTTCCCATAATTCACGGATCCCTTGAAGTCTATTGCAGTCTGTGGACCTCCGGTTAAGAACCCCTGCTTGTAATTTTGCAAAGCAGGTTCTGAAGTGTAATGGTGCAGCAACATTCCCCTTCCCCCTTCCCCTCACCCCAGCTCCCTACACTGACTTGGAATTACAGATCCAGTTTAAATGACAAGGTGAGAAAAAGATTACTAACCTTTAGAAGACTAAGTAAATGTGTTAATTTTATTTTATCCAACACCCTGCCCAGTGGATGAATCCCTTCTAAAAAAAACATGCCTGACATCTAACTTTGTTTGGAGATCTCTAGTGACATAGAACCCATTACCTGGTGAGGTCAACTTTTCTATTATTCGACAGCTACAATTGTTAGAAAGTGCTTCCTTACCTTCTGCACAAAGCTGTTTTCCTCCATTGTTCTCAGAATTTAGCCTTTTGAGAGGGAGGAGACTAAATGTAATCTCTGTTCTACATTGTAACCCTACAGCTGTTGGGTGAGAACTCCCAAGTGGGAGGCAAGGTCACCAGGGCTTCCAGAAGGTCTTAGGGAAGGGAAAGAAAATAACCATTTATATGTTGCCTACTACGTGCCAGGCACTGTGCTTTTTTTATATGTACAAATATTAACTCATTTGATCCTAGAAGGAAAAAGAGTGGAGAGGGTCCTTTGTCTGAGGAGGACTTGGGCATAATGTGGTGGAAAGAGGACACGTGGGTGTGTAAAATGCTATACGTTGTATTTATGTGCAATATACACATACATAAACTGTACAGAAGGCAGTGTTATGTATTGGGACTAACGCTGGACTTGGAATGAAAACACCTGGGTTTGAATGCTGGCTCTGCCATTTACTAGCTACAGGACTGATTTCCCCAGCCAAGCTTCAGTTTTCCTATCTGTAAAGTGGGATAATGTACTACTCCCCTCAGAGGCAACATGTTGTGAGGAAAATTCTGTATAAACCCCTCATTAACAGAGCCTTGGGAGCTGTGCTGATTCTAAAGTGCTTTCAAAAACCTTTTCTTGGGGACAGCTAGGTAGCACAGTGGATAGGGCACCAACCCTGGATTCAGGAGGATCTGAGTTCAAATCCGGCCTCAGACACATAACACAAGCTGTGTGGCCCTGGGCAAGTCGCTTAACCCCACTGCCTAGCCAAAAAACCCCCATTTTCTTGGTTGACTCTCACTACGGGGTTGTGAGGGGAGGGGTGATTAGTGAAGGTGGCTCTAGTGATTGGTACTGCACCTTGTCAGGACTTTCATGGGTCCAGGGCCCTGAAACTTGGCCTAGGTTGGCTGGGGTGGATAGGGACAGGGTCTGGCTTTCAGAATTTCAAGGGGAAATCAAGGACATGGCCCTTAGCAGAGCCTTTGAGGTCCTTCAGATTCCTCATCCCCCTGGAGCAGGCAGTAACACTAGGATGTTCCTAGGTCTGGCACCTGCCGATTAACATCAGCATAATTAGACATCAAGCCTAGCCCAATCAATTAGATCGGTCTCCTGAGTTCCAGCTCCTGGTGTGACTGTGGCCAGTCCATTACGCCGAAAGATGCAGTCCTGTCCTCTCTTCGAAGTGAGATTCAGGCTCTTTCCCTGAGGGGCTGCGGAAGATTGGAGCCATCAGCTTCCTCCACCCAGGGACTTCTACAACTGTCCTAATTGAATGCCCCAGTGACCAGGTGAAATTGAATATGGGAGGCCAAGGCCAAAGAATCCAGATCCTAAGTGGCTGATAATGTTGCTGGTGACCTAGTCTGTCCTGAGCCTTCAAAGCAGACTCTGACTAGCCTGTCTTGCCTGGGGGCGGGGCCTGCTGGTCCTTTGGCCTCACCCGGGAGAACTCAGGGTCCTTTTTATTCTTCTTTGTGGCCTCTCAGGAGGGATTCCTGTATTATCTTGGCTGCTTCACGACCTCCATTTCCCCTACAAATTCTCCTTCCCCGATTCATGTGTGCCCACTAAGCACGCATTCTCAGACACGTCCATGTATGTGTATACCAGCACCCACTCACATGGCTGGACACACAAGCAGCTACTCAAATGTGCATACTAACACAGTATGCATATAGGTTATTTTCACACACAGGCAGGTATGTCCACAGACATGTATCTGTGTTAATATGGTCAAGCACTTATGTGCAGACAAGCACCCACAGGTATGCAAAGCCAGGCACACCTACTGTCCAGCTGCACTAAGGGTGCATACTCAGGCTTCGAAGAATTTTAGGTCTAGCTGTACTACAATGTACAACCGTGTCTAATTGTATTGGTGTATCCACGTGTGTGTGCTTCCATATACATATTTATATATGGCTAGGTATTGTATGCCTAGGTGTGTGAAGGGCTCTCCGTGTGTTGGTGGGGGCAGGGAGGGTCCTGTCCTAGCCTCTAGACTTCCTCTTCTCCAGGTGGTTTTCAGAACCTCAGTGAAAGCTAAAATTACCCCGTTTGCATTTTGTGCCGCCCACCCATCTTTGGTTCAAGGACTGGCAAAGTTTTCCTTGCCCAGTTCTCTATGCTACTTTCCTCCTGTGTCTGGGAGGGCAAGGGGCCAGGCAGATGGAAAGCCCCTCTCCTCTGCTGAGCTTGCTACCTACAGCCCTGGGAGTCAGGAGGAGCGCCTACGGGCAGGGAGGGGCAGGCAACTTCCCAGAACCAGCTGGCTGGCGAAGGGGAGGGGAAGGGGAGACTTCTTGCTTGCTCAAGTTACGTGTCCGCCGGCAGGACCTGAGCCCAGCCTTCATTTAACCTAGAGTAACCTTTCCTCCAGTCACCAGGCCTAGGAGGGAGCAGGGCAAAGGGGCTGGGTCAACTCCAACTGCTCCTGTGGGTTCCCCACTCTTAAAGGGACAGGATCCAATTACGGTGACAGAAGCCTAGCAGTAAGGAAGTGAGGAAAGCAAGCGCCAGAATCCCTCCAAACAATGTATTCAGATTCACTTCACTTTTATTATGAACAAACACAATCTCAGATCAGTAAATGACTTCAGAGTCAATATTAATAGAAATTATTCCAAAATTATTCTTCGCAGGTCACAGATACTACGATCCAAAATAAAGGAAAAAAATTCCCAACCCAGGAAAAGGTATCCTGCTCATGTTTCCATAGCAACAAGAGTTGCTGAGCTCTCCAGCTTCACCTCCCCCCACCATCCACCCCCCTTCCCAACATGCTCAGCTCAGCCCAGCCACTCCATCTCTACCCTAAGCCAGGCTCCTAGAGGTCCATGGCATCTTGTAGGAAGCTTCCTCAGCTGAAGGATTCCAAGGTGCTTTACAAACAATTAGTCCCGCCTCACAACTGCCCTGTGAGGTAGGTCAGTATTATTATCCCTGTTTTTAACAGACAGGGAAACTGAGGCACAGAATAGTTAAGCGACTTGCCCAGAGTTACACAGCAAGTCAGTGGCAGAACTCGGAGGGGAGCCCCTCTCCCTAAACCACTACAGTTAACACATCATCTTATTTCCTTCAATTTCTTACTCTGGCTTGTGTGAGCTGAACTTCAGGATACAAGCAAACCAAGGGGAAAGTTTCTATTTTAAATGCTGCAACCATCTTTTAATCTAAAACAAAACAAAACAAACCAAAAAAAAAAAAACCAAACAACACCTAAATCAAATACATTCAAATTACTTGCACCCGCCATGCGGGCCCCTTAACAAGAAAGTCCCCAGAGAAAAAACAAAAACAAACAAAAATTTTTTTTCCTCCAAATTGAAGCACAGAAATGCAGTCCTACAAATTGTCGGTTCTCCTGCTGGGTCTGGGTCTCAGCTCTCCCACCAACTGCTCTCTCTGCTCAGAGAGGCTGTAGAGAAAGCAGCAAGGAGGGGAGTGGAGGCAGACTCACCCTCAATACTGATTAGAACCCACAGAAGCACCCAGAGGAATTTGTTAGCCTGCCCACAGAGCAAGAAGTAATGGAAATTCAGGCTCTGTCAGTCCTGAGTCCATTTTGAATTGTTTGTTTGTTTTTAAATAGGTTTCTTTGCTTTGAGCTTTGTCATCTTCTCATAGTATTCCTTCCCCTGACAGTCAAGAGAGATGCCAGGACTCCATCTGGCCTTGTGCAGGGTCAGAGTATGGGTCTTCACTGAACATTGTTAGAAGAGATAAGCTGTTTTCATTGTATTTATTTTGTGATGTCCTGTGGGATTAAAATTCCCAACAGACTTCTCTTAAGGGTAGGCCCACACAGGCCAGCGGATCTAAACTAAACATGGACATTTCTATCTATTTCTTTCCTATTGGGATGAACAGCTTTCAGAAGGCTGGGTTTCCAAACCAGTCTGAACCTTCCACCCAGGCCTGTTTATTCTTAGAATCCAGACAGAAAGCATGCTGTCCTCTCCCACCCCTATCCCAACCATGGGGCTGGCACTCCCAGGAAGACAGCAGCAAAGCCAAGGGAGATCAGGGGAAGGTGCTTTGAGATCCCTCAAAGCCCAGTGGTAGGTTTTCCTTCACCCATCTCCCTGGCTAGGTGGTGGGAACATTCCCACAATTTCCTTAAGCCAGCTGGGCCAAAAACTGGTCGATTGTGGTGACCATTACACCAGCTCTGGCAGGCAAGAAGGAAGAGTGAGATCTTCCAATTTTTTCCCTTCCAATCAAGAGAGTCCACTCAGTAGCCCCCTAAACCAGCCAGAAGCCCTCTGCCACTCAGCAGCCCTGGGCTTGGCTTGCACAGTTAACATGGAACACCCAGCATGCTGAGGATGAGAGGGAAAGGAATAATAATACAAAAAAAAAAAAAGCCTCCTCCCTCCCTAGTGGCTGGCTCATTGAGATGACATTGGCGTTTAGTTGGAGCTTAACTGAGTTTCCATCTGACCCAGGGATGTTCCCCAGCAGGTTTGCCAGCTCTGCCTTGAGTCAACAGGATAGTGGGGCAGTGAGGGAAGGAAGAGGCGATGCAGGTCAACTGAATGGGGCAGTCACATTACAGAGGGAAAAACCAGTGGAGCTCCCTAGCCCTGAGCAATTCCAGCCAAGGCTGCTGCCTGTCCAGAGACAGGAGGGGGAAGAGGTTAAGGGCAACTAGGCGAAGCCAAGGGTTAGCCCCCAAATCCCTACTGTGCCTCCCCAGGCAAATTTTAGCTTCTGGAAGGTAGGAGAGAACAGTGGGAAAAGAGCGACAGGGTGTGTATGCTGCAGAAGGGACCCCCATGGATCCATCTAGAATTGGTATCCAATCCATTTTCTATAGAGAGAGGAAGGATCTTGGACCCTTCAGACTTGACCTGTTTCTAAGCCCTGCCCCCAGCCTCTTGGGCTCCTGCTCAGCAGTGAGGGGCAGGGGAGCCATCACACTCATTCTTCCTCCTCTTCTCTCAAAACTCCAGGATGGAGAATGAGGATACGGGGACGCTGAGGTTGGTTTGTTTTACTTTTCCAATGAGTTGCTGTTTCCTTAACTTTTCCCCCAGTCTCTCCCCAGGTCAGGCCAATTTCATTAGGAGCTACAGCTCTTGCCCCTTGGTTCCCTAGGTGTGCTTGACCCTCCCTTGCCCTAAGCTTTACAGAAGCATCTCTTTATGGTGTAGCATCCCTCCAGCCCAAATTTCCCAGGCCACTGGGCCACAGAGCAAGCCCATTTGGTTGAGGAGCGGTCTAGAAGGATGGCTGGCAGAGAACTCGTCCTTTTTTCTTACACCCCTCTCCCCAATCATAGTAGGCATGCTACTTCCCTTCCCCTGCCTTCGTTTCCAGGAGGAAACGGCAGCCAAGAAGAATGACCCTCCTTCACTCCAGCTGGTAGGGAATGAGGCTTGGCCTGAAGGAGCTGGAAAAGTGGCCCTGACTGCTTTCTGGGTTTACTCCTCACCCCTGGGGGCTTAGGGAGGGCCAGAAGGAAGAGGAATCACTGAGGGGAAAGAAAAGGCCACCGACGGTGACACTACAGAGAAAGAGCCGGCCCAGGGCACACCAGCTGCTTGCTTAGGAGGCAGTGAAGGGGGGAGGGGAAAGAAGGGAAAGGAAAGGTGATCAGAACAGGGGAAGGAAAGAGAAGGAGGAAGAGGAAAAGCAAGATCATCCCAGCATTCACAAAGGCAGAGTTGTTGGCTTTCAATACATTTGCACTGTAAAGGAATACTGTATTGGAATGGGTTAAAAAAAATCATCATCTTTAGCATCTGGTAGCATTATTCAGTAGTTAATAAAGAGAACATTAGACCTCTGCCCAGCTGGCTTGGTGGGGAGCGGGGAAGGAGGCCTCAGCCGCTCTTCGAGCTCCCTTCACCAGTTCTGGAGCATCTGGCAAGGATGGTGGCCTTGGAGACTTTCTTTCGGTCGTAGGCCAAGCCCAGGAGACACATGCAGTCGATGAAGAAGGTGGTAAAGTTGATGTGCCAGCGGTACTCGCTGGCAGAGTAATCGTATGGGAAGGTGTGATGGTAGTTGTGGAAGCCTTCACCTGTTACAGCAAGACAAGAAGGGGTGAGCGGGTCATGGAAGGCAGCCCGAGCCCCTAGGGAGTCACGGCTCTCTGACGTGTGGTGGACCCTGCCTTATCTACCACCCAATCAACCAACAAGCATCGGTTTTCTGCCTACTAGGTGGCAGGCATACGCTGGGGACACCAAAACGGTCGCTGCCCTCAAAAAGCTTACGTTCCATTGGAGAAGAGCCAACACAGACGGCAGGGTAAGTATGGAGAACTAGTAACAGAAGGCCCTTAAGCAGGAATGGGCGTTTGAGCTGAACTCTGAGGGAAACTAGAAGACAAGAGAAGGAGGGAGGATATTGCCGGAACAGGGCAGAGCCTGAGCAATGTGTCGACACAGAGCTGGAATGCCATCTCTAAGGAACTGCAGTAGGTCAGTATGCCTGGAAGCGTGCAGAAAGAAGAGCCAAGTGCACTGTGACTCAAAAGGTAGCTTGGATTCACTTTGGCAGCTGGATGAAGGATGGATTCAGAGAGGAGAGAGACTCGAAAAGCAGGGAGTTCAATTAAGGGATGACGACAATAGTCCAAGTGAGTTGATGATGGCTTGAACCAGGGCGGTGGCTGTGGGTGGAGGGAAGAGACTGTGGAACCTCTCAGGTCTGCTGTTTGGGGGAGAGGGGAAAGGGGAGTGGAGAAGGGGCGGGACGGCTCTGGGCACCGAGACAGCAAAGAGGAAAGAGAGCTCTGGAATCCCTGCCTGCTATTGTTGCTTCAGCACATGCTGGCATGGCGATCCGGCCTTCTCTGAGCTCCAGGTTCTCTGGGGAGCTAGCCTCTGAAAGCTCTCCTGGGTCCCAGCCAAAGAGCTAAAAAGCCCCACTAACCAATGGGATTCTTGGGGCAGTTTCCTCTTGGCTGAATAATAACATGACATTTACCCAGTAAACACAGTATATTTACATATGCTGTTGTCTTTGATCTTTAAAAGCTAAGAAAGTGAGCTGTGTAACTAGAGGCATTATTATCCCCATTTTACAGATAAGGAAACTGAGGTCCAGAAAGGTTAAAGTGATCATGGGGTCACACAGCTATTAGGGTCATAGGTTCAGGGCCAGAAGGTACTTTCTGTTGTGTACGACTCTCTGTGACCCCATTTGGGGTTTTCTTGGCAAAGACAGTAGAGTGGTTTGCCATTTCCTTCTCCAGATCGTTTAACAGATGTGGAAACTGAGGCAAACATGGTTAAGTGTCTTGTCCCAAGGTCACATAGCTACAAAGTGTCCGAGGCTGGATTTGAAATCAGGAAGATGAGTCTTCTCAGTTCCAGGCCCAGCACTATATGCCACCTAGCTGCCCAAGAGAAGGGACTTTAGAGGTATTAGCTTCCTCCTACCAAAGATAATGAAGTTGGGCCTGAAGAGGTTAAATCACTAAGTGTCAGAAATGGGATCTGAACCCAGACTTTCCTGATTCTAAGTCCAACATTACCCACTAGCCCACACTGCCTCTTCCAAGAAAGCCTGCAGTTCCCTGTCAGTAGGCAGGGGTTTTTCTGAGTCCGGGAACACAAAGATTTCTAAGTCCTTCTCAATGCCCTGGGCCATGACTTCCTTTTCCTATTGATAAGCAAGGGTGATAGTACTGACCTACATCGAAGGCCCCACTGCTGCTCTAATAAAAGGGCTTGTCCAGCCCCAAACTGATAAAAGTGCCCCAGAAACAGCAGTGACACTATTAATAACGTCTGAGGGCAGAAGTCCTGGCTAAATGACAGGGCCAGGGATCAGAAGCTATACTCTCTGACACCTGCTTATCTACAACGTGAAACCCATGGAAGGGAGGGGATAACCCTGGGCCGAAGGTTGAGGCTGCTCAGAGGAATATCGATGCCAATGTGTGGAGATGCAAAGGGGACCTCGAGACACCTGGAGGTGTGAGAAGGCCTTCAATCTGGGTGGCAGCAAGGGCTAGTCCAGGAGGACATGTACAGAGGGGCATGTCCTTGGAGGACCGGGGCAGAGGACAAGCCGTAGGGGGAAGAGCATTGAGGGGTTGGTGAACATGAAGTGGGTCCAAAGCACAAATGCCATTTGCCCTGACACTCCTGGACTTCCCTGTTTATTGTTTTAAGCCACATTTCATATATAAGAATACAACAACAGAGTCGAGAAAGGTGGCCAATGGCCAACAGGAGACTGAAAATCAACATATTAACATTGGGCTTGTGGTCAAAGCCTAGCAGATGCCGCCAGCAGGGAAAGAGTCCACAGGCATTCCTAGAAGACAGTGAAAGGTGATGCCAAGGTGAGGAACCCAGGATGATGAAATAGGAGCAAGAGTACGAACCAGAGACAAAAACCATTAGAGAGAACGGGGACAGTGGAAAGGGGGACTGGGGTCACAGAAGGGCCCTTAGAGGCCATCTAGTCCAATTTCTTCATTTGGTAACAGCTAGAGAGATGAAGTGACTACATATCCTTCCAGCCATATGTGACAGAGCTGGGGTCTCTGACTCCCAAAGCCAGCCACCTTTTCTATCCCCTTGGAGGAGACAGGGAGGGCAAAGTACCTGCAGCTAAGTGAGCTACATTGGAGTTCTTCAGTGGAGAAGGGCCACCTCACTCATTTGATAGATGCTAACAGACACACAGAACTGAGGCACACAGATGAGGTGATTTGGTCAGGCCCCAAGAGTAAGAAGGCTATGTGCATTAGAACTGGGAAAGGGAATCCTGTTAACCTTGACTACAGGGCTGAGCCACACCCTTAGGTGGATAACTGGGTGGGAGGGGCAACCTAGGCAAAGAGTAAGGAAGAATGGGATGGGAGGAAGAGGGAGATGAGCACTTGATGGCAGGGGTGGGTAGAGCCACAACCAACTGATTTGTGTCCTTGCACCAAAGAGCGTCATGGCCCCTGCCCCATAACCAAATCTGACCTTGGGGATGCTGGGGAATTGAGGGACCAAGATCTGGTCACCATTTTGGTAAAGGCTTAATACATTTAAAATAAGAACAGTGATTATATACAAAACATATACAACAGAAACTTTCTGGTCAGTCTGGATAGATAAATCCCTAGAGAAATCCCCTCATGGATGTTGTGCCCTTTGGAAAATTCCTCACCCAAGCTAGGCGAAAGCTAAACCAAGACACAGAGGCTGCAATGGGGAACAAGGCAAGTAACAGACTTCATTAGGCACATCTGTACATACCCAGGCATCCACTGTAGAGATCCCCATTATGAGTCCAACCCCGCCATTTTGAAGAAAAGAAAACTAGTAGAACACAAGCTCCTTGAGGGCAGGGACTGTTTTGTATTTATCTTTGTACTCCGAGCCCAGCACGGTATCTGACACACAGCAGGAGCTTAACTGATGCTTTGAACCATTATTATGAGCCGTGGCTTGGAAATGTTAGATGGCTTATCCATGGTCACACAGAACTGGGCTTCAAACCCAGGCGACTGACTCCCAAACCAGTGGTTTTCTCATTCCACCATGCCAAGGTGAAAGTCTTGGGATTTCAGAAGAAAGATTCTTTCACTCGAACAATAACAGAATTTGAGTTAGAAGGGGCCAATAACCCCACCCCTCCCTTTTCATGAAGGAAACCTTACCCCTAAAGGCCCAAGATGAGGGAAATCCTTTGGAAGGATAGGCCCTACTTGTCAGGGAGAAAACCTGAGATGCCAAGCTGGTAAGCAGGCTCAGCCCCACCACTGCATACAACCAACCAAGCAGCCAAACTGTCAGCCCAATAGTCTTGACCGCCCTACATCCTGGGAACTTACCTACAGCTCCAAGGGCCACCAGGATATTCTCCCGGGGGTTGATGTTTTTGTCATAGGGCCGGCTGCCATACATATGAGCAGCGCTGTTCACCAGCCAGGTGGCATTGAGAACGATGGCATAACGCAGGAGAGTGGAAACATACAGGCTGTGAGCAAAATTCTCACCCCAGAAGTACCAGGGGATAAACGTGGGGAGAATGAAGCACATGAGGAGGATGGCGGGCTTGTAGTATCTGTCAAGAGAAGATGCAGCACAAGAGTTCAAGGATCCCGCAAGGCAGGAGGCTCCTGACGTCCATCCTCAGCTAGGCTGGGCCTAGGCTCCAGCCTCATCTCCAGATGAGAGGTAGGCTGGGCCAGGACCAGCGGGGAGATGCTAAGATTATGGGTCACTGTACTAGAGCTAAAAAGGACCTTCAATATTGTATAATCTTCCTTCTTTATTTTACTGAGGCCCAGAGAGGTGCAACAATTTTACCCAAGGTCACCCAGGAAATATCTGAGATGGGGATTTGAACCCAAGTTCTCTGGCTCCAGCTCTCTAGGTACCACATGGCCTCCACGATTGTTCCTGGGTTTCTATTTCTTCCTGCCCACCCTCTTTTTACATACAGCCCATGGAGGTGTAGATCTCGTCTCCTCCTGGAGCCCTTTCAGGCCAGAAGCCCATTTCCAATCCTCCCCAGAAGAACCTAAGTAGCCAAGACCTTAGCCCCAGGAAGGGCTGTGGAATCATGAACTAACTCCCATTTCTCTGGTGCTCCAAAGACATTATCTGGCTCTTCATAATAACCTTGTGAGGGAGGCATTTTATAGGGGAGGACACTGAGGCTCAAGAGAAATCACATGACTTAGGCACTAAATGCACTCAAGTCTTCCTTAACTATAAGTCCAGCATTCAGCATTTCTTAAGTACCTACTACGTTCCAGGCATTGCACTAGGAACTTTACACTTTCAGTCCTTTGCTAACAACCCTGGGAGGCAGGTGCTATTGTTATCCCCATTTTACAGATGAGGAAACTGAGGCAGACAGGGTAAGTAACTAGTCCAGGGTCACATCTGAACTCAGGCTTTTGTGGTTCCAGGCCCAGGCACTCTCCACCAGCCCCCCCTGGCCCCCTTCCACTCACTTCCTCTGGAACATCACCAGCTTCTCAGCTTTCAGATCGGACAGGTCAAGCAAACGGCCCTTCTCAATGACATCTGGGTGTTTGCGCACTAGCAGCCAGCCCACATGGGAGAAGAAAAACCCGCGCTGGGCATTATGGGGATCGGCATCTGTCTCAGAGAACTTATGATGAACACGGTGGTCCCGGGCCCACTCAAAAATGTCATTCTGGGGGGGGCACAAAAGAGACATGGCCAAGCATGAGATAAGGAAAAAGCAAGACACGTGAGGACCAGCCCAACCTCCCTGACTGGTCTCCACTTTAGACCACAAATGAAGCAACATTTTTGCAGGCTCAGAGAAAGCCCAAGAAACAAGGCTGGCTTCTTCGAACCCTTCTAGCCCCAGGGAGTACAACAGGGCAATGTTGGACAAAGGTCCCAGTAGCCTAGGCTAGACTTCTCCCACTGCCCAGGCAGCCAGCCCACCAAACTGCCCAGGAACCCTCATTCTACTCTAAGCACCTGGCAAATGAGAGGATATTCGAGCTCCCAAGATCACAGGCCACACTACGGAATTCTGTTCTATTCCCTATTCAGTGTGTCGACATCGTGCAGGTCCTGCCAGATGCCCTCCAGAAATGGAGAGCCGAACTGCATCACTGACAGAGGAGAGGAAGCCCAGAGGTATACAGTGCCATACCCAGGACACATGCCAGGCAGGGGAAATGGACTGGATGTTGACCCATTGAATGTTCATTCTCTTCCACCCCCATGAAGAGGGGGGCTCTCTCGAATTATTCATGTGCCTATCGCTTGGAGCCTAATATGTACTAAGGATTCCTCCCACGCCTTTGGAGCTTCTTCATTACCTTAGGAAAGACAAACTCTTGGCACTGGCCTGAGAGCGAGCTACAGTTTCAGACAGGTCCAAGAGATCAACTGGAAGGTAGGCCTTGATTACATAGCTCTGAGGGGAAATGGGAGCTTAAGAGGACCTCTGTGACACTCTCGGCACATTGCCTCTGCAAAGGGACACCCAGTGGGTGAGCTCTCCAAAACTGGAGTACGTACCCACTTGTCAGAGGCCTATCCCGGTGAACAAGGACGGAGCAGGGTGTGACCCCAGGAAGGAGCCCCTGGAAGCTAAGTTATATAAATATATAATTGGATATAATCCCAGAACTGGGAGAGATGTTAAAAGAGCCTAAAATCTAGGGGTTCTCTAACCCTTTTGTGTCATGCACTTCTTGGGCAGTCTGGTGAGGCCTACGAATCCCTTTTCAGAATGTTTTTAAATGCATAAAATAACATACATAGGATTACAAAGGAAACCAATTACATCCAAATACAGTTATCTATATATTTTAAAAATAAATTCACAGACCTCAGGTTAAGAAGTTCCTGTTCTAATCCCACTGGGACTCACCCAAAAAGCCATTATGAACAAAAAAAGTTTACTTTTTTTTTCTCATTAGAAACCTCTCAGGTGTGCTTTCCCTGGCTTTTTCCTCTCATTAGAATGTAAGCACCTTGAGGACAGGCAGAGGCTGTTTCACTTTTTATCTCCATACCTCCAGTGCTTCCCACAGTGCCCAGCAAATATTAGGCACTTAATAAATGCTTATTTTTGATGGATTGCTTGTTCCTCCTGAAACAACAGTTACATAGCACTTAACACAACTTCTGTTACATAGTAGGTGCTTAATAGCTTCTCACCTGGAAGGCCATGGTGTTAGCGATCGTCAGAAAGACTCTGAGGGGCAGGCGTGCCTTGTAGGTTCTGTGACTCCAGAGGCGGTGGGCTCCAGCAGTGATGCCCAGGGCGCTGATCATGTAGTACCCAAATGCTGTTTGCCAGGAGGAAGAAGAAAGTCAAAGGGAGAGACAGAAAGTCAATGTACATTTCTTCCTTGTACGTGTCTTTGGATGCACATTTACCCCAATGTACATTTCTTAAAAGCCATTCTTACTTAGGAGAAAGGTAGGCCACTGCTGAGCTACTATTCACTCTGACCCAGATCTGTTTGTAATTGGTACCTTTGGTTTCACTTCCCTGGAGCCTAAGAATCTCCCAGCCACCTCCCAAGGGCTTGAAGGAGGCTCTGGAGATAGTATTAGTATCTCTGAGCACAGAGCTCTAACAAAGCAGGCAGAGGAGAGCAAGCCCTACCCGCACCCAGCTCCAATGGCTGGCAGCTCCAACGGCTGGCTTCGGAGAGAGGCTCCAGCTGGGGGCTGGTTTGGCTTCATCCAGCTGTCTTTGGGGCTGGGACCACAGACAGGGCTTCTCCTTCAAGTCTTTGAACCCCACAACAAACTTTCTCCATCAGCTAGCCCACTGTCTTTAAAGGCAAAGCTATTTATTTCCAAACGGTGCTTGGGAACAGTTCAGAAATGTCAGCTTCACAAATGTGAAGCCTCCAGGACTGAGTGAGAACAGAAGCCCCACGGAGTTACTAGGCACATTTTCTGCCTAAGAATGGGCTTGCTGGGCCACCCCAGCTTCCCAGAGGACAGGGATCTCTGGGAAGCTGAGGTAGGAACAACAATTAGTAGCTGCTCATAATGTTTAATCCTAAGGGGGAAAAACCTGTCGGGTGATAAGCCATCACTGGCCACTAAGTCCTATCAACTTATGATGCCACAGAGATCAGTGCTCAGGAAATCAATGCTCTTGTTCGTTAAGAGGCAATGTGGTGTTATGGATAGAGGGCTAGACTAGTGAACCAACCAGGAAACCCTGGGTTCAAATCCCACCTCAGGCACTTACTGTGTGACCCTAGACAAGTCATGAGACCTTTTTTGAGTGAAAGAGCAGAAAGTTCCTTTTCTGCGGAGTTAGAGGACCTATATTCAAATCCCACTGCTGCCACTGGGTGACCTTAAACAAGTCACTTAATGATCCTGGGTCCTCTGTTCCCTCCTCTGCAAAATGAAAGGGTTGGATCAGATGGATGGGGAACAATGAGCCTATTATCTTCATCTGTAAAATGGGGGTAATAATAGCCCCTTTCCTCCAAGAGCTTGTGTGAGACTCAAATGAAAGAATAGATGAAAAGCTTTTTTTGGGGGCTATACAAATGCTAACTGTAACTTTAAGAAACCAGTCCACCTGTTTTTTCCCCCAAGAACTTTGAGGCTCTCCTTAAAGACACAGAGCGTTTTTTATTTTTATTTTTTTGCTTTTTGGTGAAGCAATCGGGGTTAAGTGACTTGCCCAGGGTTATACAGCAAGTGTCATGTGTCTGGGGGCAGCTAAGTGGTGCAGTGGATAGAGCTCCAGCCTTGGAGACAGGAGGACCTGAGTTCAAATCTAGCCCCAGACACATGGCGTGTTAACGGAATCCCGCAGGCCACTTCAATCCCTAGACTTTATCACCCAAGAAGGACCAAGTGGCCTCTAGACACCAAGAGGAAAGATCCTCCACAGGGGGACAAATCCAAGTTACCAGAAAGATGAGCAGTAGCCCTGGGACCCTGTAGGGCTTGGAAGCTCCAGCCTCTCCATCCTGGATATGGTCCTCATGCTTTGGCTCTCTATACACCAAGCCTCAGCCTACTTCACACCTGACCTCTGCACACTCTCACAGGATGGAGTACAAGCCCAGCCACGCAGCCAGGGAAACCAAGGCATAGATCACGGGTACGGACTTGCCCAGAATCACATCGTGAGTTAGTGGGTGAAGCTAGGAATAGAACCCAGGAGTCCCGACTCCCACACTCTGGCTCCTTCTTTCTCTTACAACACCCACAGAGTCTATCAAAGGAAGACTGAAACCCAAAGGGAAGGCTATTAGAATCCCATCACTGAGTCAGCATTGAGCACTGCCAGGCACAGCCCAGCCTAAAGAAGCCTTAGTCAGGTTCTTTCTTTCTCTGACGGAAAGAATGAAGTACAAATGGGCAGGAATGGGGTCTTAGAGCTTTGCTACAAAGGCTACTTGGGTTTTGCCTCCTCTCATCTTGACTCTCTCAGCTGCCAAGCCCATCAGGGTAAAGGTGTTCGGGCCCCCAGATCCTGGTCCTATCATTAGCACAAATGGGAGGAGCCCAAAGCCCTCTGAATCCCTCTCGTCCACCCCCATAATGGGGCACTAGCTTTTCCTCCCAGGGTAAGGCAGAGCAGTGCCTCGAACAGCCCCAGTAAACCAAGGGAGCCCCTTCCATACTAGGTCATGCTCATTTCACACACACACGCCTCCCCCTGGGTCCTCCAGACATGCTAAAACCACTCCCAGTAACAGATCTCCCACAAGCTCCTGGCTGGAAAGACTCCTAGGAGCCCACCTCATCTACCTCTCTCTCCAGGTAGGGCTGTTTATGAGTCTCTTTCTCCCCTTGGAGATTCCTCCTGACCTTTGTCCTGCCTTGCCAGTGTAGATCCAGCAGCGATGGAGTGCAGCTGCTGGCCTCTTCCATGTAAGAACTCTTCTTGGGCCCAAGGCAGTTGCCTACCTGAACCAGGTCTGCCTGCCTGCCTGCCTGCCCCTCCTGGGTTTCACAGCCCATCCCTGGGAGCTGAAGAAACACAGCCTCCCTTCAGTCTATAGAACAGACAGGATCATAATATTGCCCCCATTCTTCAACTGGAGAAAAAGGCCCTGAAGAAAGGGCAAGCTCAGGGCACCATTTCCATGTCTGCAGCTGAAGGTGGGGTTCCCCCAGGCCAAAGTTTGCAGATCTCAGGAAAGCCTGAGGTGACACCCCGGGGAGCAGTTACCCAGTTCCTCTGCCCGACCCTGACAGACGCATGACACGAAAACCTGACCTGCTAAGAACAACAGATGTCTTTTAGTGCCCTAAAGTGTGCGAGACATTAACTCTCTGGAGTTTTACAGCAGCACTAGAGGTGTACACTAGAGGCATTATTAGTTCCATTTTACAGATGAGCATGTCAAAAGTTCAGAGAGGTGAAGGTATTTGCCTGTAGTCACACTGCTAGTAGGCAGAATTCAAATGTGAACCCTACTGATTCCTGGGCCAATACTTTATCCACTACCCCCCCTGATCCTGCTTCCATAAGTGGGCTTTGTAAGTCTCCTTGGCTCAGTCTCTCACTTTACACCACAGGGCTCCCTCTTTCCTCAAGACCTACAATAATAATACCTCAACTCCCTTCAGATCTGGATGGAAGGCCCCTAAAGCCTGTATTTGCTTTTGCCCTTCCCATGCCAGCTTGTAGCCTCAGAATGGAAGGGATGGGGCCACCTCTGTGAGAGGCACATGTGTGAGGCCCTGGGACCAGCATACACAGATGGAGGGCCCTGAAAAGCCCCATCAGAGATGGCAAGGAGCTGAGATGCTTCTCCTGAAGCAGCTCTTTGTTACTCAGCTGGCACAAGGCCTGGGGTCTGCTCCCTGCTCCTCTTGGCTCTCTGTCCTGTCCAGGCCTGTCCTGCTTGCTCCAGGCCAGCCAAATCCCAGGGGGCCAGGGGTGGCAGTGGAAAATGGAGACAATAGGGAGAGATGTGGTTGAAACAGGCACGATGGAAGGGTTCATGAGGTCTGCTGCTTTTTAAGACCATGTCTGTGGCACTAATTATATGCCCAGGCACACCCAGCTACCACAGTCATGTAACATGGATATGGGAATCTTCCTTGAGCCTCTCCCTACTAAAGGGAATCAGTCTGGCTATAGGGTGCCTGAAGGAGGGGCTCCTTTCCTGGCAGAAAAGAAAGATTCTGAGGTACAAAGTACCCGGAATCATAACGAGAGCATTTTCAATGCACTTTATGCCCATGATTTCATTTCTGAGGCACATGGTGGGTACCCACCCTGTCCCTTCAACAGCAGCTAGTGCCTCCCAAATTCCTGCTCCTCCCTTGGTCGGGGCCAGGGGCAAACCTGTTCCCCACCTCCCTACCATGTGGCTCCATCCACCTCCAAGCCAGGCCACCATCTCAGGGCTCCCTTTCCTCCACAGCGGGGATTGAGGCAGGCCTACTCCTCCTGCACCCAACAAAGGGGAGCTGCCCCTTGGACCGACAGGAGGCTCCCTCTGCCTTTGCAATAGAAGGGCTGGGGGCCAGAGGTCAGGAAGGTTGGTCCACTTACTGAACATCAGGGTGTAGATATGGCAGGAAGGCACCAGGAAGATCCCATACAGGGCTCCCAAATGAAGCATGCTCATCAGGATGATATTCCTCCAGACATAGATGAATTTGGGTTTGGGGCCTTCCTTCTCTCGGTAAGTGGGGTCAAACACATCATCCCGCATCTCGTAGTTGATCCCCTCTTCATCCTCAACAGACGCTTTTGCCGCTGCCTTGGCTGCTCCGTTCTGCAGGGCCCTGCAGGAAGGGGCTGTGATGGTGGTTGTGGTGGTCATGGTGTATGAGGGGGAGATCTGGGGGTCAAGAAAAGAAACGCTACAATGAGCCATACTGGAGGGGCAGGATGGTGTTGTAATAAAGAGTGCTGAATTTAAAATCAGGGGACCTGGGTTTGAATCCTGACTAGGCAATGATTCATGACCCCGCTGAAGTTACTTTCCCTTTCTGGGCCTCAGTTTCCTCATCGGTGAAATGAGGGGGGTTGGACTAAGGAGCTTTGGAGGGCCCTTCTGGGTCTAGATTTATGATCCTATAGGCTTGATTACCTTTGCCATAGTCCAGAGACCCAACAGGACGGACTCCTAGTAGAAGATAAGTTCCCAGAGGGCAGGGACTAATTCTTCTTTTGCCTCAGTTTCCCTAAGGCCTAGCACAGTTCCTTCAACAATGCAGGATATGTATGTGTATATATACACATATATGTATATGCGTATATAAAAAACATATATATAAAACGTTTCTAGAACTAAATTGGCTTAGATCCTGTCTCCTGAACCAAGAAAACCCGAAGGGTCCTGGGGAAAAGTGCCTATAGAAATAAGTTTAGTGTAAAAAGGAGAGAATCTGAGGGCCCAAAGGGATTGGGGAGGGGAGGAGAAGAGGAGGGGAGCTTACAGAGATGGCATCAAACACTCTCGTCTTCTATCCTGAAAGTACCCTAAAACGGGGAGTTCCTCTGTGGCTGAGGCCCAAAACCTCATTTATGGAAGAGGCCAACATCGTTCTACAGAGATAAAGCGTGGTGGTGGAGGGAGGGAGGGTGCGGTATAGTGGCAGGAGTAGAATCTGATCTATTAATGAACAAGCATTTAACAAGCATTAATACAAAGTATGAGGTTCAGCCACTTGCTACTTGTGTGACCTTGGACAAGTCATTTATCCTCTTTGTAAAATGGGGAGTGGGGTAGACAAGATGGTCTCCGACGTCCTTTCCTTCTCTAAATGCCAGGTTTCATCCTTGCCCCACACAGCTCTCCCCCACGCACACCCCTGACCCTCCCTCCTCCTTCCGTCTCTGGCTGCCAGCTCTGAGCTCCAAGGACGCCAGAGGCGCCACGGCTTCTTCCAGGGGGCCTCACCTCCTCCTGTAGCAAGTGGGCCGGCATCTGGGTTCCTCGGGAGCAGGACTCGCTCTTCCTGGGCTGGAGCTGCCGAGGGAGAGTGGGCACTTGGGCTCGAGGATTCGGCTTTTCGAGAACGCAGGCCGCCCCTCCACCCCGCACCTTCCCTCCCGGTCCCGCAAGGCTCCGCCGCCGCTGCTGCTGCTTTGCGCTCGGATTCGGGCAGTGTGCCCCGTTCGTTCGTCCGATCGTCCGATCGTTCGATCGTTCGTTTGATCGCTCGCAGCTCTGGGCGGCTCTCACCTTTCTAGCTGGCTCTCTCCGCGTCCACAACCCAGACGCGTTCTGCTCTAGCCTCTCCACTCGTGAGGATTTAAAGGCCCTAGCTGACGCCCGGGGACCGTGTCCTGGATTTCCTCAGACCCCTTTTATCCGCTGCCAACTCGGACCAAAGTGCGTAGCAGGGGCCTTTGGCAGCGGCTGCCCGGCGTGGAGGGTGCAAGAGGGCGGGCGAGGGGAGGAGACAGAGCGCCGGGGCGTGGAGAGGCCGGGGCCGGACCGGGGATAGAGCCGGGGATGCAGCCGCCGCAACCGCTGCCGCTGCCGCCGCCACCGCCGCCGGGGAAATGCTAATGATGTCTCTGTGCGCCCCAGCGCGCCATTGGCCAAGGGGAATTTGGTGCCACCTTATTCTGCCTTCGCCATTGGCTCGGTGCAATCTGCTGTTCCCTCTGCCGCGAGCGAGCGGCTGGGCCCCGACCCCTCGCTCACCCGCCGTCCACCCCCCACCCCAAGTCCCTCCCTCCTTCCTGCCTTCCCTCCTCCCCCCACTCCCCGCTTCTCAGCCTCTGGCCCTCAGACCAGGCAACGGACAACTGTTCCCCGCTGCGCATCCTGGGGACCTGGTGGGGCGCTGGGGGCCCTCTCCGAGGGAGTGGCAGGCCTGGGGGCTCAGAGGGGGAGGGGAGAAGTGGGGGATGGGAAGACCTAGGGAAGAGGTATGAGGCTCCGACCGCCTGCGATCCCGGGCCTGGGCGGCGCTTCTCAAAGTTTAGCCTGAAGCCTCAGAGTGGCGTCCACCACTCGCCCAGCATCCCTCCCCGCCTCTGTGCGCCCAGGCAGAAACGTGAAGGGTTCAGGGTATGGGGTTCCAAAACCAAGAGCAAAGGGGATCCTAGGGTGGTCACGCCCACCTCAAGCCCCCCTCAAGCCCCCCTCCTCCGAATCCCTGTCTTCTTCCTCCTGTATCCCCTCCTCCCCCAGGCAACAGCATTGTCCCCTCCAAAGTCCCCCTCCTCCTTACTGCAGCCCAGGTTCACGGTCTACAGCTAGACCCGGTGCCCCGCACTACAGAGACCAGCTGGTGAATTCAGACATGCGCATACCAGCCCAAGCACCAGCTCAGCGTGTCTGGTCACACACAACTGACCGGCGAGTGCACACAATCACATTCTAGTGTATACACATACCCCTTTACGTTCACATGCCACCAGACTCACAGGCCCTGTTACAACTCAGTAAGCTAGTGTATGCACACTGAACTCTTCGACACTCACACCAGTACATAGGGTTTTATGCAGAGGATTTATCAGTCTCTCACATACTAGTGTCTACACACAGACCAATGTCAACCCGAGATCGTAGTTAATTACACAGGCCAAGTATACACATGGACAGAAACACAAACGTGCCTAAGCCAGTGTATACATGCTGCATATATAGTTACTCTGGAGAGCACAATACATAGTCACACAGGTCAGTATGAACAATCAACCCAAGACCAGTATACAAACACAAGCCAGTATGCACACAGAGCAGCTTAGCCCCGAATATGCAGTCACGTTCACACATACTTCTAGGCATATGCATGAAATCAAAAGGTGCCCACGTTCTTCTGGTAGCAATGTCTCAGAGATTCTTTGAGGTGCTGGAGTGTGACCCCATGCTCTTTTCTTTGTGTTCAGGGTTCAGTTAGCAAATCTCCCTAGTGCAAAGTGGGAGAATGCTCAGAGCTGACCCCTCCCAGTAAGAGAAGGGCTGCCATGTGAAAACCAACCCCTCTGCCGTGCTCCACGTCCTGCCTTGTCCTGCCCTGCCCTGCCCTGCCCTGTCCTACCCTGAGCAGGGGTGTGCTACTAAGCTGCCCAGTGTCAATGCTATACCAGGACAATGACACAGGGAAATGACAGTCTTTGCTCTCTGAATGCAGAGCAGCTACCTGGCTTTGTGTATGCATTAAGGGGCTAACTCCACCCCCTCCCCACAAGGAGCCTCTCCAGGATCCATCTTCTTATTCAGGTTGTGCCCCCTCCCTCAGCAATTTGGTGGAATGAAAAGAGCATGGTGGAATTTAGAGTAAGAAAACCTGGGCTTGAGTTTCAGCTCTGCCTTTGTGATTTGAGGCTAGTTACTCTCTGAGCCTCAGTTTCCTCATCTGCAAAAAAGATGGGGTTAGATTAAAATGATCTCTGAAGTCCTTTCCAGTAGTAAATCCTAAAATGCTAAGATCCTCCCCATGGAGCCCTTCACCACACCTCTCCTCTTTGCCAGGGACTCCCACTGAACTTCCAAGGTTATCAACCCACTACCCACACTATTCCCATTTCTTCCTCTACAGCATACTGCCCAGGCTGTGTCCCACACCCAGGCTGAGGTGAGATGGCCTTTGGATCCAAAGTAGGTTGGGGCCCAACCGCTGAACTAGCCAGAGAGGCCCCGAGTTAAGGAGATGGGGGATGGGAGAGTCCACGAGCTTGTTAGTCAACAATATTTCCAAATGCAAGACTCCCCCTTCCTCCCTTGGTTAGGACTGTTCTCAAGGTCAGACTATCCCTCAGGGCCAGTTACAAGGATTCTGTTTTCCTCTTTGGTGTTCCCCACAAGTTTAAGGTCCCTGGAAGAATGTCATCGTCATCATTGTCCTCAGTGACTTGAAGAAATATTACTCATCTGTACAGGGTGACTATTCCCTTGCATCACCTCCCCCTCCTCTAACTGTCCCCTTTGTTCCTTCTCCCAGAGAGACTTGAGGGATCTCCTATCAGGCACTTATCTCTGGGGTAAGTGACATGGAGGTTAGCTTTAGTTAGGATAAGGTTATTCTCTCAAGGTCTAAACATATTCCTCCCTGTTCCTCAAGGAGATCCTGAAATGGGCAGGAGTCACCTTAAAAACAGAAGGTATTCAGGGAAGGCCTCCCTGAGGTTAGTGAAAGGTTGCTGTTCTTGTACTTACCTGGAGGGGGAGGGCAGACCAGGAAGTCTGAGTCTCACTGAGATCAGGGAAGGAGGTAGAAAAAGAAAGTGTTATTGTTCAGTCATGTTCGACTCTGACTTTTCATGACCCTATTTGTATTTTTCTTGGCAAAGATACTGGAGTGGTTTGCCTTTTCCTTCTCCAGCTCATTTTACAGATGAGGAAACTGAGGCAAACAGGGTTAAGTGACTTGCCCAGGGTCACACAACTAGTAAGTGTCTGAGACTGGAGCTGAACTCAGGAAGATGAGTCCGAGGTTGGGCCTAAAGGTGGGACTGAAGAGTGTTCACCACTCCTTTACACCAAGGGTTGACAACAGCAGGGGAGGTGTGTTCTAGCCTTTTGATCTGGAATCAGAGGACTTCTAGGTTTGAATCTCTACTTTGCCACTTATTATTTGTGTGATTGTGGGCAAGTCTCTTCATTTCCCTGAGATGAAGGAAATGGATTAGCTGATGTCGATCTCTTCCAGTTTGAAATCTATGGACCTTGTACTTTGTAAGGGGAAACTCCCAGAGTGTAGAGAGGGGATGGAAGTGAGAGTCATGGTGTCTGGTGAGAAAAGCACTGAATTTGGTGTCAGAAGACTTGGGTTCTGCTATTTAAGATTAATGTGACTTTGGGATAGTTACTGAAGCCCAATAGCTCACCATTTTACCCACAGGATATAGCACTAAGTCCTCAGCCTGGCATTCAAGACTCCATCTGCTGTCCAGCCCTATGTCCTTTTTCTAGGGAAAACATCATGGGGCAGAATCAGAGGACCTGGGACCGAATCTTGGTTCAGTCCCTTCAACCTCTCTGGGACTATGGGGTTCGATTCAATGACCTTTGAGGTCTCTTTCAGCTCTAAATCCTTGAGCCTACTCTTCTAGATGTACTCTATGCTCCCGGCTTGTCCTCGAGTGCTATATTTATATTGACAACCTCTCTGAAAGCCTAATGATGCAATTCTTCAACCTGCTTAATTCTAATGACCTTACTTAACCTCATACTGACGTTTCACACCTTGGACCTCATCAGTTTCTTGGTGTTGCGTGACCTATGAGATCCCACCCTTCAACCATGACCTATCCCATTAAATTAGATGCTCTCTTGCTCACACTAAGTAGACTCCTTGCCCTTACCATAGTCTTTGGTCACTTTATCCATCTCTTCCCTGTTTACCCCTCTTTTACTTTAATTTCATTTGCCTTTTCATCCAGCCTTGACCCCATGATTTGCCATTTTCATGTTTGTTCAGCTACTACATGAAAATTCCTCACAGCCCCTCTCTCTCCCCATGGCATCCCTTCATTTCTAACCTGAGAATCCTTATCCCTTTGTAACCCAACACCTGATTCCTCTGACCCAGCTCTGGGATGTGGAGCATTGCTTGAGAAAGTAATGGAATCAGGCTAATTCAAATCATGAATGGTCCAAGACTTTAGCTGGGCCCCGGATGCTGCTTATCAGGCCTTCTACTTCGCTTAAAAAAAAAATCTCATTCTCCAATACAATCTCCAGTGCTCACAGCAGATGCCCTGGTCTCTTACTTCCCTGAGAAGATGGAGGTCACCCCATTGGAACGCTTCCCTTCTTTAGTCCTCAAAACTTCCTTGCCTCGTCAAACAAGAAAGGATAACCCTTCTTCTCAAAACTAATCCTTCTACCTTTTACCTTGATCTTATTCCCTCTTACATCCTCAGTCTCTCCCTTATCACAGACTTCTTACCATCTTTCCACAAACATCTTCACGTTTGGCCAGTCCTTGTCTTGACCTTTCTAGGCCATCTAGCTGTCGGGTCATCTCTCTATTCCCTTTCATGTCTAAAGGTCTTAAAAAAAAGTTGGCTATGTCTGATGTTTTCATTTCCTCATCATCAATTTTTTCTGCAACCCCTTGCAAAAAAATTGTCATTTCTACCATTCGACTGAAACGTCCTTCTCCAAGGTCAGCCACGTCAGTCACCAAATCCAGTGGCCTTTTCCCAGCCTTCATCCTCCCTGACCCACTTAGTAGCATTCAACACTGTTGGCCACTCCCTCTTACTGGCTACTGACTTCTCCTTTGTCTTCAGAAATACCACACTCTGGATTCTAGTCCTATCTCTCTAACCATTTCCTTCTCCTTTAATGAAATCTCATTCTATTCTTGACTCCTCTATATGGATATTTCCATAAGTCTGTCCTTGGCCTTCTCTTTTTCCTTCTAGTATAGTTATCTCTTTTGGTGTCTTATCCTCTCACCAGATTCTAAGCTACTTAAAGGTGAAGACT